AGGCCTCGTTGGTATACGAAGACATCCAGATATGTGACTGTATAGCTCTGTGTAAAATATTTATATGTGTATCTAAGTTTGTGCACACGTTAGTAAAGGGGGGGGACATTTTCTGTCCTAACAGTGGGCACCAAAATTGCCCATGGAATGGGAACTGTCTTCGAGAATTTCCCTTGATAGGTCAGTGGACTGGGGGGCAGGTTGTTGGCTGGACCCCGGGCACAAGCTGGCCTGCTGCTGCAGGCGGGGAACTCGGTGCAGATTGGAAAGGAGCTGGGGGCTCCAGCTGTCACTGGGGAACTGGACATATGCCACCAAATGATTAGACCAGCTGCCAACTTCTTTCCAAACCTTGTTGTCAGAGATCCTAGAGGAGCACTTAGGCAGCGTGAAGCGGAGAACTTGAGGCAGACACAGCCTCACCAGGTGGCCATTCCACACTGTTGTAGCAGCAAGACCAAAACTTTGAGGAAGGCAGATCCATGAGACTTATCATGTATCTATAGTTTCAGTCTCTTCGATCCTGGGGTCTGGATCGGTAGAGGGAGGCAGGGTTTAGGCACATCCTGCCCTGTACTGCTTCATCTCCTGCAGCTGCTTCAGGGCTTATGAATGAGGAGTCCTGGGCCCCTGGTGGTCTCTGAGCCACCTGGTAAGGGGCGGCCTGTGAGGTGGGGCAGCAAGGTGCTCCTTGGCCAGATTTGCCCACGTTGAGCAATATCATTCTAGGCATGTAACTTGGAGGTGTTGCAGGCTGGGTTCCAGGCCACCACAATAAAATGGATATTGCAAAAAAGTGAATCAAACGTATTTTTTAGTTTTCCAGTGCATAAAAATATGTTTAGACTATGCTATAGTCTATTAAGTATGCAATAGCATTATTTCTAAAAATACAGTGTACCTATCTTAATTAAAAATACATTATTGCTAAAAAATGCTAATGATCATTTGGGCTTTCAGTAGGTCACAATCTTTTTGCTGGTGGAGGACCTTGCTTCAAGGTCAATGGCTTCTGACTGATCAGGGTGGTGGTTGCTGAGGGTTGGGGTGCTGTGGAAATTTCTTAAAATATAAGAACAATGGAGTTTGCTGCCTCAATTGACTCTTCTTTTCACAAGAGATTCCTCTGTAGCACGCGACGCTGTTTGACAGCATTCTACCCACGGTAGAACTTCTTGCAAAAGTCAGTCCTCTCAACCCTGGCTGCTGCTTTACCAGTGGAGTTTATGTGCTGTTCCAAATCCTTTGTTGTCATTTCAACAATGTTCACAGCATCTTCTCCAGGGGCAGATTCTACCTCAAGAAACCACTTTCTTTTCTCATCTATAGAATCAACTCTTCATCTACTGAAGTTTCATCATGAAATTACAGCAATTCAGTTACATCTTCAGGCTTCACTTCTAATGCTATTCCTCTTGCTATTTCCACCACATCTGCAGCTCCATCCTGCACTGAAGTCTTAAACCCCTCAAAGTCATCCATGAGGGTTGGGATCAACTTCTTCCCAACTCCTGTTCATGTTGAAATGTTGACCTCTTCCCGTGAGTCACAAATGTTCTTAATGGCATCTTGAATAGTGAATCCTTTCCAGAAAGGTTTCAATTTACTTTGCCCAGATCCATCAGAGGAATCACTATCTCTGGCAACTGTGTCCTTGCTAAATGTATTTCTTAAATAGTAATACTTGAAAGTTAAAATTTCTCCTTGATCCATGGGCTGAGAATGGATATTGTGTTAGCAGGCATGAAAACAACATTAATCTTATACATCTAGATTAGAACTTTTGGGTGACTGGGTACATTGTCAATGATTAGTAATATTTTGAAACGAATCTTTATTCTGAGCAGTAGGTCTCAACAGCGGGCTTAAAATATTCAGTAAACCATGCTGTAAACAGATGTGCTATCATCCAGGCTTTGTTTTTCCACGGATAGAGCCCAGGCAGAGTATATTTAGCATAATTATTCAGGGCCTTAGGATTTGTGGAACAATAAAGGAACATTGGCTTCAACTTAAAGTCACCAGCTGCATTAGTCCCTACCAAGAGAGTCAGCCTGTCCTTTGAAGTTTTGAAGCCAGGCATTGACTTCTCTTCTCTAGCTATTAAAGTCCTAGATGGTGTCTTCTTCCAATAGAAAGCTATTTTCTCTACCTCAAAAATTTGTATCCACCTTCATCAACGATTTTAGCTAGATCTTCTGGAAAACTTGTTTCAGCTTCTACATCAGTCAGCCCTTGCTGTTTTATCTTGCACCTTTATGTGATGGAGATGGCTTCTTTACTTAAACCTCATTAACCAATCTCTGTTAGCTTCCAAGTTTTCTTCTGCACCTTCCTTGCCTCTCTCAGGTTCATAGAATTGAAGAGAATAAGGGTCTTGCTCTGGATTAGGCTTTGGCTTAAGGGAAGGTCACGGCTGGTTTGATCTGCCATCCAGATCACTAACACCTTCTCCCTATCAGTAATAAGGCTGTTTCGCTGTCTCATCATTCACATGTTCACTGGGGCAGCACTTGCAATTTGCTCAGGAACTTTTCCTTTGCATTCCCACCCTGGCTAAGCATCTGGATCAAGAGGCCCAGCTTTTGGTCTACCTTGGCTTTCAGCTGCTTTCCGCTCTGAACGGAATCATTTCTTGCTTTTGATTTGGAGTGAGAGTTGGGTGACTCATCTTTTCACTTGAACACTTAGGGGCCATTATAGGGTTATTAATTGGCCTAATTTCAATATTGTGGCATCTCAAGGACTAGGGAGGCCCAAGGAGGGGGAGAGAGACAGGGGAACAGCTGGTCAGTGTTGTAGTCAGGACACACACAACACTCATTGACTCAGTTCGTCAGCACATATGTGCACGGTTTGTGGTGTCCCAAAATAATTATAATGGTAACATCAAAGACCACTGATCACAGATCACTATAATAGACGTGATAATAATAAAAAAGTTTGATAGACTTGTTTGGTGCAGGGTTGCCACAAACCTTCAGTTTGTAAAAAACACAGTATTTGTGAAGTGAAATAAAGTGAAGTACAGGAACATGAAGTACAGGTATGCCTGTCATCAGATCAAGTTCTCCTAGTTTCTCTTCACTCTCCTGCAGAAGACCTTGAACCTGGGACTCAGGTTCAAAGGTATTGTCTGCTGGTCCTCAGCATCAATTCTCACCTCTTTCTCAGTCTTCCTGTACTACACGGTTGGAAAGATAAAAACGACATTTCTCGGATTCCCTTGCAGCTGGCGCTGCCGGTAAGTGTTGTTCTGCCGGATGCCGCCGAGCTGGGGTGTGAAGCAGAAGTGAGGTGTGGGCTATCTTCCTGTTGCTGTGAGCAGTCAGGGATGGGAGATGTGGGCCCATCCGCCCCCGTGTTTCAGCATCCAAGCCCAGCCTGTCGGAGGCGAGGAAAGCAGCTGTGATGGCTTTAGGATCCTGGCCCCTGGCTCCGGATCCCTGGACCACAGCTAAGCGGCTGTGTCCCTGGGCGGAGTAGGGCCTCCTGGCTGCCCACAGTCCTGGCCGTGTTGGGGCGCAGCTCCCCTGGTGGGTCAGTTTTGTGGTGTTGGAGAGATATTCCTGGAGGCCCAGGCATGAGCCTGATGCTCCAGTCCTTCCAATTTTTTTTGTTTTTATTTTTTTTTTAAATATATTTTTTAAAAAATCCCTGTATTAAATCTCTTTCTGTTGAAAACAGCCACACTGGTTTCTGTTTCCTGGTAACTCACACAGGATTTTATGTAGACAACCGGAGGCCCGTGTAAGAATCACTGAACCGATGCAGTGGACACCCTGGATTTAGAACGGCAGACAGGTCACGACACACAGAGAGCCACAGAGGAGGTGGAGTGGGTTCTGTTCCGGTCAGCGTTCCCTCCTCGCTGACTGCTGAGAGAAGCCTGCATTCTCATGGACAAGGGGACTGTCCCTACTCCTCTGGGGCCAGCGTGAGGCAGGGGTGCCCAGGCGCAAGCTTTAGGGAGGCGCCCACCTGAGTGTGCAGCGCGGGCTGGCCCTGCCAGTGCCTGCTCAGGTTTTGCACCCTGGCCCCTCACCCACCTCAGCCTCGTCCTGGTCAGCTCGGTCCTCAGTGCCGAGTGCAGAGAATGCCCAGGCTCTGCTCCTGCTCTGGCTGGAAGACCAGCGTGTAAGTGGCTTCTCTGGAGGGCTCACAGTCTGCCCGCACTGTGCACTGTGCATGCACGAGGCCGCGGTTCCGAAGACCGTCCGCATGCCCTCGGCGGTGCTGGCCTTACCCGCTGTCGGCGCGGACGGCCTTTGACCCCACACTTAAAGCGGGTCCCCGCCAGCTGTGCCAACATGACACTTCTGTGTAACATCAGACACCCCAGGGTTGGCCAGTGCCCAGCCATCAGGCTGCGTGACAGTGTGCAGACAGTGGGAGGCTCTGCCGCACCCCAGCGCCAGACACCCCTGGAGAGGCTGCCCTGCGTCGGGGGACGGAGCGGCTGGAGTCATCGAAGGGACAGCAGTTGGAAAATGGCTAATTAACACACAGGCGCAGAAAAGAGGTTCCGCCTTAGTGGAAAGGAGAGAAGTATGCTTTGCAGCAGCAGCACAGGAAGGCACTTCCTCACCTGTGGGAGTGTCGGAAATGAGAACCGGACGACTCGGTAGAGGGGCCAGGCCTGATGCTGCGAGTCCCTCGGCAGCGCCGGTGCCCCTGGCTAAGGGGACGCAGGGCCGGCACCGCCTAGAGCAGCCTCAGTGTTCCCTTACGGGAGGAAAATGAAAGTGGGTTCTTCTCTCTCTGCTTCGTAATGGCCACAGACCCAGTGAGGGGCAGGCGGCAAAGCCAGGTGTCTCCTTCTGCCCTGTTTGCAGTCGCCTCTTACCCGCTCGCAGGGTTCCGTGGAGGAGCTCCGGGGCGCCCATGCCGGCCGTGCACGCGGGGCAGTGGGACTGCCTTAGCCTGGCGCCTCAGCCGAGAGCCAGTTAAAAAGGGCACACTGCTCTGCTTGCGTGGGCTCCGAAGGTAGCCCTGCCTGGGTTTCCGGAAGCCCTGGGGACTGCTGGGGACACATCTGGAGTGGAGATGGAGGAAGCCAGGTGACCGCCTGTGCCGTGGGCTCCGAGCTTGCCTGACCTGTTACTCCTGATGGAAGTGCAGCCCCTGGTGCTAGCTGAGGGCAGGATGCGGGGCAGGAAGGCTAAGGGGAGATGTGAGCAGGGAGAGAGGGAAGCTTTCTATGACAGGGAATTGTGTCCATCTCCGTGAGAGCAACCATGGTTAGTAAAGAAACACTGGTGACCCCGGAGAAGCATATAAACAGGAAAAGAGAAGTTAGGAAGGGGTGCTTTCTCTTTGGAGAGGTGGCATAATGTGGGTCTTTAGTGAGAAAATAAGCCTAACCTTAGTCTCAGTCTTGCAATGTGACTTGAACCTATTTGCTTAGCCCTACTGAGTTCCAGTGTGCTCACGGTAAGGTGGTGGCATTGTTACTTAGGACGTAAAAGTTGAAATGGGAGTATGTAAAAAGCTATGTTGAGATGTTTTGTCCGTGACACAAATGCAAAGGGCTGGATGTTGCGTCCTGTCTTCTTGTCTGGCTCTTCCCTCTCCACTTCTCCAGCCGAATCCCCCAACAACCTGACCCCGCTCTTATTCTGTTCACAGCCTCACTGGCCTTCATTTAGGTTCTAGAATGATTTATATTGTTTCCTACTCCAGAGCCTTAGCACATGTTGGTCCCTGTTCCTGCAACACCCTCCCGTCCTCTGTATGCCTGGTTGGAAGAGCTCATCCCCCAGAGCTCAGCCCAGGCATCACCTCCTTGGGAAGTCTTCCATGACTTCCTTGCTTTACTTGTACCCTTATGAGCAAAAAAACCCATCTTTCGTATTGTGCTCATCTCAGCTGTGATTTTATATGTGTTTGTGTAAGATGATGATTACTTCCCTCATTGGGGGTGTGTTGTGATGGCAGTCAGGTGGCCCTGTTAGAAGGCCCCCATAGTGAGGAACTTAAGCCCTTGGGTGGCTCCAGCTCACCAGCCATGTGAACGAGCCACCTTGGAAAAGGATCCTTCAGCTCCAGTCGAGCCTTCAGATGACCGTGGCTCAAGCTGTGTGTCTGCAACCTCATGACACATCCCGAATCGGAACTGCCCAGCCGAGCCACTCCCAGACTCCGGACCCTCAGGAACTGTAGGAGAGAATAAATGATTGCTGTTGTTTTAAGTCTCTTAGTGTTGGAATATTTTCTATATGGCAACAGACAGCTAGTGCCGATCTAAGTGCCTGGAAGTGTGGTGGGTGGTACGGTAGCAAAGGTGGGAGTGGCTCTGGGACTCGGCGTGACAGACACTGGGAGGGGAGGGTGACTGAGAGGTTAAAGGGATTGCAACAGACTGTTTGCAGAAGCCCGAAGGCCACATTGAGGATGTGGTAAGAGCTTAAAAGAAAGTGAGGAAATGTTACTGGAAACTGGATGAAAGGGTTTTGTTGTTGTTGTTGTTGTTGTTGTAATATAGCAGTAAAAAGTTCAGCGGTGTCACTGTGATCATCTGGAAAATAGAAATGTTCCTGCTGAACTGGGTGATCTGGCAATGAGAGTTCCAGGCAGCACTGCAGGAACCCGGAGCATCATTCCTGAGCAGGGGCAGGTCTGAGACCTAATCAGGAAACCACCAACATCTGCTCTGCTGGATTTCAGAATTGCTATGGACCAGTGACTCCTACGTGCCTCCTGCTTTCGCCCTTTCTGAATGAGGAGTGGGAATCTAGAGCAACGGAGCTGTGCCTGTCCCACCCTTGCAAGCTGGGGGTATGGGGGTGCCGATAATTTACATCTTTAGTTTATAGTTTTCAGGATGAGACCAACTTTACTCAAGGAGCTTTACTTGAGGAACTACATCACAGGAGTGTCATCTACACCTACACTGGATTTAAATGATAGGGTCGTGGACCTCAAGCTGATGCTGTGATGGGATGACATCTTGGGAGCATCGGAAGACCTGGGAGTCTGCTAATTTTAATGTAAGAAGGATGTGAATTACTGGGGGCCAGAGGGCAGACCAGGGTTGCAAGTGTCTGGGGAGGTCCCCATGAGCCTCACATCATGGCACTCATTCCCCTGTGCAGTCAGTTCCCTCCCACATGGATTAGACCCTTGTGTGTGACTTCTGAGATTAGGTGATAAAAGGCATTGCAGCTTCTGCATTGGTCTCTTGGGGGGCTCCCTCTGGGGAACCCGCCCCCATGTCAGGAGGACACTTGGACAACCTGGAGGCCCACATGAGAGGAACTGAGGCCTCCTGCCAACAGTCAGCCACAGCTTGCCAGCCAGGACTGAGCTGCCTTGGGAGTGGACCTTCCAGCCCCATCGAGGCCTCGGGGATTGGGGTCCTGGACGACATTTTGACATTTTGGCTGCCACCTTTTCCTAGTTAAACTCTCTGTGCTGGCCTTATAGCCACGTATCTGAGCAGGGCCAGGGTGAGGGTGAGGTGAGGGAGGTGCTAGGGCCTCCCTCCATGCTCCAGGTGACTTGCCATTGCGTCCTTGTCCCGCCCCATATCTGGTTCTTGTGTGGTGTGATAAAAGGTCAGTCATGATGGTCTTGTCCTTGACAGAGCAGCCCGACTCTGCCACCCCTGGCCCGACTTGGCTTCCCGTGGAGAAGCCTGCAGAGCTGGGTAGAAACCCCGGTGGTCCTTCAAGAAAGCAGGCAGAAGGAGTGGAGGGTGTCTGGGCTCCACCAAGTGAGGGTGGTCTTCACAGAATTCTGGAACCCAGCAGGTCCCCACTTCGGTCCTCAGGGGAATGCAGAGGTCTTTGGTGCTGGGGAGCATCAGGTGGTGGGTGAGACCTTGGCTTTAGAGAGAAGACAGGCATCAGGTGCATGGGACAGCCGGGGACTAGGGCTTTCCTCGGGTGGGGAAGGGAAGCCGACTCGGGGCATCCTCCTAGGGGAGCGGAAGGGAAGTCACACTAGCGCCAGCTGGGCCACCCCACACCCAGCGCTGTGCTTTATCTCGTTCAGCTCTTCTGCCAGCCGGGCGAGGTGCCCGCTATCTCAGGTACTTGATACCTTAGCCCACTTCCAAAAACTCAAGAACCTCTGACAACTGAAAGATGTTTATGACTCACTTGGTGGCAAGTCCTGGACCGAAGTGATGTGAGGCTATTTACAGTCTTAATTAGCCCATTTCCTGTAAATATCTATATGTTCCCCTGAGAAATATTAATATGTTTGATTACAGGGTCTGCCCAGAATCCACTGAGTATTCCCTAATATACTGTTGTGCACCATACAACTTTTCTAAAATCCAACATTTTTGAATGTTGACACATCTGATCTAACAATAAAGTTACAGTGAATGTCTTAGTCTATTTTCTGCTGCTATAACAAAATATGCAAAACTGGGAGATTAATAATGAACAGAAATGTATTTGGTTCATTGTTGTAGAGGCTGGGAAGTCCAAGAGCATGGTGCTGACATCTGGGGAGGGTCCTTGTGCTACACCAGCCCATCACGGAAGGTGGAAGGCAGAAGGGTGAGTGCGTGAGCCAGAAAGAGGGTGGGGGCTGGACTTATCCTTTCATCAGGAGTCTACCCCTGTGATAACTAACCCACTTCCATGAAGATGGCATCAATCCATTCACGAGAACCCTCATGACCTAATCACCTCCTAAGGGCCTTACCTCTTCATACCATCACAACGGCAATTAAATTTCAGCATGAATTTTGCAGGGGACATTTGAACCATAGCAGTGTAGCAGTGAGCCTGGTTTTTTTTTTTTTTTTTTTCTATTTCACATACAAGAAAAACTGAGGTTCCATGAAGAACAAGTATCTCACCCAACACCACAAAGCTACCAAGTGATGGGGCAGAATTGAACCCAGTCCAGGGCTCTCAGACAGTACACCCTGCACGCTCAACCACCAGAAACAGGCCCCGTGCTCCTTAAATACGGCGAATTCAGATGTTATAAGGGCTACATTTTCTACTTGCGCTGTGACAGCCTTTCACGAACTCTGTTCCCAGGACAACACTGAGACTCTGTTGCTCACCCCACCCGCCCACACCCCAACCACAGGGCCCTGATTGGATTTAGCACTCGGAGGTCTTTGTTGGGCCCTTTCAGTTATTTTTATAATAAACTTCAAAAAGCTTTCTGTGCTTTGGATATTTATTGTTTCTAGACCCAGTGGCAAGCAGAGGTTTATCCACAGAAAGCGTGGAGTTTAACGAAGCCTTTTGTCCTGCAAATGTGTTCATGTGACTGAAATAAAATAAACTCTTGGGTGTTTCTTCTCATTGTTCCCCTCTACGTCATACCACTCTCACCCCAAACCCTTGCATACCCTGTGCCCCTGCCAGAACTTCCCTATGGTCCTATTCTTGTTCAGCAATTAATGCATCCAACAAACATTTACTGAATCCCTGTTGCTATTGACAATGTTGTATGGGAGGTTTTATGGCTTATTAGGAGAACACTGGTCTGACAGGCAAAGATTGAGGTCTGGTGCTGTGTGAGTTTAGACAAGGCCCTTCTTTGCTCTGGGGCTCAGTTTAACCATGTGTGGATAGATAATTGAGAGGATGCAAAAAACGTGTCTCAAGGGTATGGAAACCTCATACAAGCAGGATGGAACAATAAAGAAGTGTAGGCCTTGGAACAATCTGACCAGGGCTCTAGCCATGCAGTTCTCCTGATCCAGTTCTCCTCTGGGTCTCCTCTTAATTGGCAGGGTGGCTTGCCTCATGATCTCAAAAGGGCTGCCAGGGGCATCCATAGCCACATGCTTCACAGCCAAAAGAGGGGGAATATTTCAGGCATTAAGCACAGTTGCCAAATTGGTTGTTTAGAAGGCAGGTCTATTCTGGTTGAGCCTACACTGGTTCCAGTGGGTCTGAGTCTGACATGGAGAGGTTATTAGATATATTGACCATCACTCCTGGAAAGAGGGTGTCACTTCTGATAATCATCAAACAGAAGTCCATATTTCAAGCTGCTGGCCTGAGTTACCTGAACCAATTCCGTGGCAGGGGGCTCAGGATTGCCCCAGCTGGCTTGGAATAACTAGGCCCACTGCTGGGGCTGAGGTTGAGGTCAGTTCTGCTCAAAGTGCATGCTCGCTACAGAGGGTGGGAGTGATGAGATTTTTGGGTTGCATGCATGCACAACCAAAATGTGCCCCACCAGCCTGCTTCTGACTTGAACTTTCTTTGCTTCTGTGTTTCAATCCCATGTTCGTGACATTGCAAAGGATACCCCCGTCTTAACATCCCTTTTCACCAGTCATTTACTTTAGTCACACCGTCTAGGGAGTCTACCATCAACTTTTAACCTTCCAAGAATGTTCCTCCCAAACTGTAGGCAAGAAGAAGTGGGAAACTGAGATTCTGGTGTGTGGTGTCAGCCTGGGCTGAACAGGGACAGGACTGCTGAGGGTGACACCTGTGCACCTGCAGGGCTTCCCCTCTGCCTGCCTCCCAGACGGCACTGAGTACATGCATTTCAATTAGTTTTCCAAAAGATGACAGTAATAAGTGGCTTACTAAAATCTCAGAAGGCCATGTGGAAAATGCTCCTTTCCATCTATTACCACCAAGTCCCAATTCCCAAAGTGAATCACAGTCACCTACTTTTTGTGTATTCTCTCAGTTATGTTCTATACATATCCCAAAATATACATAAACAGTATTTACACATGTGTACGTATACAATCCAAGCCTCCTTCCCTACAGAGGGATTATGGTATCCGCAAATGTTTGTTGAATGAATAAATGAATGCCTAACACCAACCAGGGAGCTCTGACTGCAGGAGGCTGTCACCAATGCCAGCCACGACTGTCAGTCAGCAAAACAGAGCCCACTAGAGTTATTTGAACAGAGAGGTTTTAATACAGAGAACTGATGAAAGAGGGGTTGGAGGACCAGAAAGACAGAAAGTGGCCATTGAGGACATACAGAGATAGTAACTACAAAAAAGTAGCTCCCACCCGTGGGGAAGGGGACTGAAGGGAGAGATTGGGGCTATTATTAGCAGAGCCTAGAAGCTTGGAGAGGAAACTGCAGAGCTGAGACCTAAAGCTCGGAGAAGAAGGTGCTGGCTGGTTGGTGCTGACGTCTCGACGTGCCGTGGCTGGTTCCAGAGTGTGAACTGGAATTACTGCTGGGGTAAAAAGGTCTGG